TTGAAATATTTAATTAAATTATCTCAAAATAAACCTTCATTTCAGTGCAATATTGAAATTAGCTTGAATTCTTCATAACCTCTGAATAGTAGTTGACCCAACGGTCATGGTGGTCTAGTATACTACTAAAAAGTAAGCTCCCGACAGACCCATAGCCTGACAAGCTGATTACTGGGAACTATAATACTAATTGGTGTCCAATTGCAACAGCCTTAACATAAATACTTCATTGTTGTAGGCTTAACTTGAGAAAAACAAATACCACTTCAAAAAAACCAAATCTTAACTATAAAAAGCAGTGTTTTATAAACTGTGTGTCATGAATTTCACCAAAAAAAGAATAATTAAGAAAAGAAAAAACTACAGAAAAAAAAAATGCATGTGGCAGCAGAGATGTTATGCAAATCCAAACAAGTGGGTTAGAATGTCATCAGTGAAAAAAGCTTGGGAACCACTGATATAAAGGTTGCATTATATAAAACTCACCTGACATAACTAATCTGTTAACATTAAATAGTCAATTTAATTGTTGTTATATGTGGACAAATCTTTAGATTTAAGTAATAAATATTCTGATAATCAAAGAGATTTTTCTTTACTCAAAAACTGACAACCATTAAATAAGATTTTATTTACATTATATAAAATTTGTCTCTCAAGTTCTTTGTACCACACTTCACACTCCACATATCTTACTTGTTCCTCTTCTCTCTGCTTTTCTAAATAAAGACTACCTTAAAAGTCCTAGCTAGAGACATCATACCTGGTTGCTTTCTCTACTGTTTGTAGTTCTGATGTTTTAGGGTTACACATACTTTTCCACACACTATGCTAATGTGGTTTCACAGATAAACCATGCAAGTGTACCCTGTCACAACTGTACACTATAACTGTAAACATTTTGTACTTCTATGTTTTATCCTAAGTATGAATCCTCTAGTGTTTTATTAAGATGATTATAACTTTCAAATTATTTTTGCTACATACAACACAACTGTAGTTTCTCTCCACTATGTGTCTACTGAATGTTTTTTGCCACATACTTCAGTGTTAAAATTTAACTCTAGTGTGTATCTTTAGATGTTTTCTTTGCAACACACCATATGGTTTCTCCCAAGTGTGTATTTTCTCATGTTTTTAAAAGAAATAATTTTTCAGAAAGGTTTTAAACAGACTTCACAACTGTATGGTTTCTTCTAGATATGAATTTTCTCATGTATTTTTATATGAATATTTTTCCACGTACTTAAGAACTGTATAATTACTCCCCAGTGTATCCTCTCACATATTTTTAGGTTATAATTTCTTCTTAACATTTTCTTACTTACTTCACATCAAAAATTCCTTTTCAGTGTGCATCTTCTCGTGTATTCTTCTATCAGAATTTTTTGCAAATATTTTTCTACATATTACACAACTTTATGTTTTTTCTATAGTGTGTACTCTCTGATGCATTTTTAATTTATTATTTGTTCTAAATTTTTTGTTACACACTACACAACTGTAAGGTTTCTCTCCTGTATGTATTCTTCCATGTCTTTTTAGATAACTATTTCTTCGAAATTTCTTTCCACATATTACACAACTATATGGTTTTTCACCAGTGTGTATTGTCTCATGTTTTTTTAAGTTACTGTTACATACAAATTGTTCACCACAAACAACACAACTGTATGGTTTCTCTCCTGTATGTGTTTTTTCATGTTTTTTTAGATAACTATTTCTTCCAAACGTTTTTCCACAGATTACACAACTATATGGTTTCTCCTCAATGTGTATTGTCTCATATTTTTCAAAGTTATTACTACATACACATTTTTCACCACAAACTGCACAATTATATGTTTTTCTTGTATTATGAATCATCTGATGTGCTTTTAGAGTATTACTTCTTCCAAATTTTTTTCCACACACTATACAGCTAAATGGTTTCTCTCCAGTGTGTATAATCTCATGTTTTTTTAGGTTACCTTTTGTTCCAAATTCTCTGCCACACACTACACAACTGTATGGCTTCTCCCCAGTGTGTATCCTCTCATGAACTTGTAGGTTACCTTTTGTTCCAAATTCTTTGCCACATATTACACAGCTGTATGGGTCATCCCCAGTGTGTATTCTCTCATGTTTTTTTAAGTTACTACTACCTACAAATTCTCTGCCACACACTACACAACTGTATGGTTTCTCCCCAGTGTGTATTCTCTCATGTTTTTTTAGGTTTCCTCTTGTTGCAAATTCTCTACCACACACCACACAGCTATATGGTTTCTCTCCAGTGTGTATCCTCTCATGTACTTTTAGGTTACTATAACTTCCAAACTGTTTGCCACACATTTCACAGCTGTATGGCTTGTCACCACTAGAAGAGATATGAGATTGTTTTAGGTTATCTCTAGTTGAATTGTTTGGTTTCTGAGATTTTTCAATTTTTGTTTCTGTAAAGGGACCTTCTTGTGTTAAAACATGATCACCAGATCCAGATAATTGATTTCCATAACAGTTGTTCACGTTGGTCTTTACATCTGAAAACAAAATGTGAACATAATAAATATAAAATGTAGCTATAAACCTTTAATAAAATATCAGCAAGATGAAATGTTATTATCAGAGTTATTTCTTCTCAGGTGAAAACAGCATGAAAGTTTAAAATGGTTGTAAGACTACACATTCAATACGAATGTTTACAGTAAAACCTTTCATGACAGCCAACATTACCTTCAACCTGTAATTTTCTGGATTATAAAATAATAATATCTTACTTCAAGTGATTAATTATCATGAAATACTTTTGATGTTTTGTCTTCTATCACATTTTCCAATATCATCATTTTTATAAATTTCTTGTTTAAATGATTTTATGTGTGAGTTTATAAATGTTACGATTTTCAAAAATTCAATTGTTTATCAATATGTTATTGTTTTATTGTGTTTAGAATAGAATTCTGTAAAAACAGTGTAAGTACTTTTTATTATGCAAAATTAAAAGACTTGGGATTCAGGATCATACAACTTTGAAAACTGGATGGCTGTAAGTGTTAAGAAAATCGCATTCATGGAAATCATTCACAGCAATACTTTCTATGTACATGTTGAAACATCATGCTATACAATACAAGAGAAAATACTCAATAGTCACAGCACTTGAAATTTTCTTTGGCAGGATTAGAATAAATTAATCTTCGAGACCTTTTTTCCTTTTTTAAGCTATATTTTTGTTCGCCAACAATACCTAGTGTGGGACGCTTGTATACCTGATTCAATTTTATTACTCATCAGGATCTCTACCAGCCTACCCTCAAATTGAAATTCTTTTAGGCAGGATTAGAGTAAATTAATCTGTGAGACCTTGGGCATGGTCAAATACATCAATCAAAAGGGTTTGACCACCTGAATCCAAACTGGCCAAGAGATGACAGAGCTGTGAAATAAAGTTTGCACTTGAAAAAAAATATTAAAAAACTCAGAGCTGTTCTATGAGCCACTATGCTGCAGGTAAAAATTTGTTCCAGCCATTAGTCACAAAGTCTATACATAAAGAACTATAATGATAAACACTGCTCAGGTAAAACGTTTCTTACTTTTTTTGTAATAGAAACATTCTCTTACCAACTGTAACATACTTTGCTAGTTTCTTTAATTGTTTTATAGCTTTACACACTTTGCTACAACTGTCAACTTCCAACAGTACCCCCACACACTAAAACTTAATACAAAAATGAACAAACATGTTTATTAAAGAAATGATAATTACACTATTACAACAAAAGTCATTCTTTCAAGGTTGTTATTAAGCATTTTAGTCCCACTAACTACTGGAAGTTATTTTTTATTGTATGACAGTTATTCATTTTCACACAACACAAAAACCTTATTTCCAATTTTCTTAATCACATAAATCTCATAAAAAGCTCTGATAATCCTTGAAGAAAAGGTGACTTGAAAAGTTGTGGACCAATGAATTATTTCTGTCACATTCATTAAACCTACATTTTAAAAAACTTGGTGAAGAATAATTTATATATGTTGATAAAGATCTGTATTACCATGTACACATCATAATAATGAGATATAATTTACTTAGATTTGTGTGAGCATGTGTATCATATAGTTTTCAAATTATTCTAATGTCTCTCGCAGTTTTCATACTACAATCTTCACTACTATCTTTCATTCTCTTGTAAGGTCACAGATCTTCTACTGTTTCTTGTAAATTCTTTACTACAACTGTACAATCTTTACTGCTATCTATCTTATATCATTATTGTAAGGTCTTTAACTGTACAATTATTATCACTTTTTTTTTATTGTACGGTTTTTACTTCAGCTGCACAATCATTACTACAATATATCTTCTGTTGTTTCTTTCAAAGTCTCTACTTCAACTATACAGTAATTGCTACAGTAATCTTCTATTGTTTCTTGTAAGGCTTTTACTTAACTGTATAATCATTAATATAGTAAATCTATTGTTTCTTATAAGGTCTGTACAATCCTTATTGCTGTTGACCTTCTAATAGTTCTTGTACTTTTACTGCACATTTATCAAAATATTTATTCATAGATGTATTACAGAAATCTTAACTATTTGCTTTGTTTTTAAAACCATGTAATTGAACCAATCATTCAGGTGTAGTTTCTTATCAATATGTTGCATGGAGCTTCTACAACATAATACTGTAACAGGTATGTCAACAAACACACTAAACATGGATCCACACTCCTTTGCAATTCACCCTGTATCATTAAAGTTCAATAACTCTTAAAAGATCCACAAGAATTAACCATTTCGTTTCATCCAGTGATGATGAATTTACTTCTTTAGATGTGTTTGTACTTACCTGATGTATTTTCTAAACCAGAACAAATTTGTTGTTCATCGTTTTTAAATTCAGTTTTTTCGTTCATGTCTGTTTCAACATATTCTAAAGTATCCAGATCTTTATTATCACTGTCACTGAACTTTGAAATAATCTCATCTCCCATTAGATCACCAGTCTGCTCCATTTTCTCTCACAAGATTGTTCTGAAATCAAAAGAACACATTTAATCAGCTATTGCATATTGTAGGGTACAGGTAACAAATCTCTGTTACTTAATACATGCACAAATGCTTGAATTCCGTAACCGAATACACTTTTAGGTCTAAATAAATCATGGAATTATATTTTCATTCCTCAATTGAACAATGTCACTTCTAAGTAACACATCTGTTAATAGCTTACCCAAATATAATTCAAAAATTAATTAAATAATAATTAATTTAAATTTTGCACACAAACTTTTACCATAAATATCCCTTTTTTTTTCTTTGCTTGTTAGTATTTTTTCTAAACCTTTACAATTTTTGCAGTGGGTTCTTTGAGCCCTTGAAATTCACCTTGAGCTGGCCAAGAATGAAACTGTGACAATAAAAAATTTAATAATTAATACTTAGTCACACTGTTTATAATCTTCCAGTTAAAATAAGAACTCTAAAATAAACCTGGAACCTATCTATCTATCTATCCAAGAGTCCTTCTGTAAATGGGCTTAAAAATATTAATAGAATCAGCAAACAGAGATCCTGTAGCAAAAATTGGCCACAGAATAAAACATATTTTTCTTCTAATACTTAAAATCTTACTATGCCTAACAGTGGGAGGTGAAGATTAAATGCAGGTAAGTATTCAAAACACAGCATGCAGCCAATTTCCAGAAGAAAAAAAGGAATCAGAAGCTAGGCTTGCATATATATAGGGCCTAACCAGATCTTAATGTATAAAGAAGCAAAATTATATAGTTATAATTTAGTGCTTGCTAGAGGACCTGTTAATGATGATCATGTCATAATAGAGAAGCTTCATGTAAAAGTAACACCTAGAGATGAGTGTATATTATTTATACATACAAGTAATCAGTTAGTAAAGTGATGAGAAGTTAATGAATAATGAGTAGAGTGAGTTTACGAGTTATAGTACCAGTCAGAGAGATCAGTGTTAGAAGCAACATTTATCATGATATTCTGCTTTTTAGTTACATGAAGAATGTTGATTAGCTTTGAGAGGAAACTTTTAAAATTTAGGCATACGTTATGTAGTTATCACTTTAGATTGAAATTTTGTCTGTGGAATTAGTTGTTTTTTTTAATTACTCAGTAGGCCTACAATTTCAACAAGTGAAAATAGCCTGATATAAATGTTAAGGAAGAAATAACATAACATAATGTTTTGGGACAACATGCGACCCATTGGTCCATCTCGGCTCTTCCATCCTCCAAACTAAATTAAAATTATTTTTTTTAAATCTTAAAGACAGCTCTTATCATTCATATATTTATCAAGCTTTTTCTTAAACACACTTAAATTTACTGTCTCTACAACATCTGAAGGCAACCCGTTTCAAAGGCCAATCACCCTGTTATAAAAATGAAACTTGTCTTAGCTAAAGATGACTCCTACCTTGACAAAATTTATATTTGTGTCCCCTAGTCCTACCATTCTTACTGTTAAGTATGAAAAAAGATGATGCATCAACACTATCAATTCCCTTTACAATCTTTAACACCTTAATGAGATCCCCCCTAACTCTTCTTTTTTTCAAGAGAAAACAATTTGAGAGATTTCAGCATCTTTTCATATGACAACTCCTCCATCCCAGGCACCATTTTAGTAACCCTTCGCTGAATCCTTTCTAACAATTCAGTATCTTTCCTAAGGTAAGGAGCCCAAGACTGAAGACAATATTCCAAATGTGGCTTAACCAGTGACCTGTACAATGAAAGTATAATCTCTTTAGACTTGTATTCAATATTTCTGTACATACAACCTAAAATCCTATTTGTCCTACCACTAGCAACAGCACACTGCTTGGATGGCTTTAAGTATAGAGACTGATCAACTATTACAATAAGATCCCTTTCCTTCATAACACTGTTAAGGTTATTCCCATCCAAATTATACTTATAATTCAAATT